TGTTTTAATAAATGCCCACACCGGGTTATATCTGGGACGTTCTGCCTCTGCCTCCTTGCTTGGTCGGGCCGCTCAACGGTCAGCTTCACAGATGGTCTGGTAGTTTCTCGATTATCGCTCCTCGATCCTCCGGCACAAATAAGGCCACTGGGACGGTACTCAAGATGGCGCAGACAAATCAACTTCCGGTGATACCGAGAGCGAGAAGCGAGGAAATAAAAAATAAGAGAAGTGAAACGCACCCACGGGGAGAGCTGGAGAATATGTTCCCTATTTGAAAGTGAAGACTTGTTCATAACAAATAAGCTAGTAGTTTGACTCTAATGTTAATGAACAACTAGTTGATGGTGAATACCTTAATATAAAGTGTTACCCACATTTCATAATGCTCCCATGAACATTAATTAAAAACCACCAGCGACCTTCTGTTCTCTCAGACTGAAGAAGAGCTGGAAAACTCACAGGTGGTATTTAAATGGAGCATTTTCTAGTTTCTCATGTTTAATTGCACCCATGCATTTAACCACTTCATAAAGAAGATAGCTTGTATTGATGGAAAAATACCCTACATGAAAGGCTTCTCAATTCTCTAATTTCCCCTCCTCGACTCCTCGGTCCTCCGGTAGTGACCCGGAAATGGATTTCAGTGCGCCATGTTGAAGGACATCTCATTTCTCTAAACGCACATCGAGGACCGAGCGTCGAGGAGGCTCTCTGGATAATCGAGGATACACTGATGGGTCCTCCACGGATGTATTTCCGGCAACAGAGATGTTTCAAAGAGTCGTGACGCACGGCCTGACTGATCTCAGCCAATGACAGCTCTGCATTCATCCCCTGGATATTATTTTATATATATCCAGTCTCTGATTGTGTTACGTTATGAGTGCTCTCATACTTGTTTGATTCTGAAATTGTATATATTTATATAAATGTCCGCATCTATAGCCTGTCTCATTATACCGCACTGTGAATGAATTCAAAGTAAATATAGGTGGTCATGAACACATCTGTCCATCAGACAGAGGGCTGCTGTGCCTCCTGTCAACATTAATGGACGTCTCTTTAAAATGACCGCTCAGAGGAGAGGAGCTCTCATTTCTCTAACCGCCTGCTGCTTCCCCTCCTCTCTCCTCGGTTCCCCTCCTCGACTCCTCCACTCGCATCTCCTGTGGACGGGACTAAGACACGAGGATAGGAGTCGAGGAAAGGAGTCGAGGAGGGGAAATTAGAGAATTGAGAAGCCTTTATTGTGTCCTTTAAAACATACAAAATCAGGATCCTGTTAATTAGGATGTGTTGTGCAATTGAATGAGAAACTATTAAATGGAAATTGGTTTTACTATAAGTACAGATCTCTATCTTAACTACTCCATCTTTAAACAGCTCTAGCTGCTCGATGTTTGGCTCACTGGTATCAAGTCCTCTTGTTCCTCACATATTCTTATATAGTGTCTCCCTGTTATTTAATTTCAAGTTAAAGCATACCTCTGCCGCTGCTCGATAGTTTAAGAAAGAGACGCCAGGATTTGGTCCACAACAAAATATAATTTAATGAGTTCACTTTTCACTGTGTCGATCACAAATCTATATTGATGTACAAAAGAAAAACAGAAGAAAAGAAAAGTGACCCAGAACTCTCCTTTGTCTTAATGTAAGGTAGCAGTCTCCACAGAGCTTCGGACATTGAAAGCTACAGCTCACTACAGTAAGACACATTCGCCACAAACACACACAGAAGCGCTCATAGTCTCCACTCTTTTCACGGGGCCCAATAAACATTTATTCGTTTGCACATACGATGAGAAAAAGTGGGGATTCATCACAACACCAAAAGTATCGTAGTTCACAAATAGCAACAGGATACGCTAGCACTTCCACTTTCTGCCTTTCTAGCTCTGGAGGAGAAAATGGTGCGGTGCCGTTGGATTACTTTAATATATAAGTTACACTGACAGTTACACAAAGTGGTTAGTAGCCAAGCACATTGTGTGGGCATGTTGCACAGACATGAGGATGATTGGGACAGCCGTGACTCTTTCCTCATTCGGTGAGAAAGACGTCCTTCATTGGGAAGTGACCTGCTTGTTCGTAACCCTCATATAAAAAGACATGCTGACATTTTCTTGTGTCTATGATGCAAAAATCCTAATGACCTCTGGGATTCAAAGTGGCTTCAGCTATATAAATACATTTGCCTCCATACATATAAAAATAAAATAAGCAATACACAAATATTGCACACCTATGGATTATTTGTAGGTTTATCAGGTTACTGATGAGTCATAGGGGAACATGTACAAACATGGAAATAATAAACCCTCTGGTTCAGTATAAATAAATTAGATATTTAATTTCCTATTCGTGCAGCATGACTCTCTGGCTGTGTGTGGAGGGGGCGGAGTCACGGCTGCCAAAAGGGGGGGAAATGAGAGGTGGGTGCAGCAGGTAGTCTTTCCTCCAGGAGAAGCAGGTTTCCTCACTGCTGCTGGGCGTCCAGCTCTCTCTGCCGGCAGCCGACTGCAGTGATGAGAGCGGCTCCCTTCCCGCTGCCGTCCTCCGACAGCAGGAAGTTGACGTCACATTTCGGGGCGAGATCCTTCACCGTCTGATGGAAAATCCGTGAGAAGCTGAGAGAAGGAGAGAGACAGGAAACTGTGGTTAGGAGGGAGGGCGCTGCTGAAGGGGAAGCGTTTTCGAGTACAATCAGAATACTGGGAAATTCGTTTTTTTGCTTTTGCTCTATTTTAGAATGAAATCGATGAAAAAAATGTAATGAAAATGTATGGATATATAAACTTAGGAAGTGAAAGCAAGAATGTGCAATACATATATGAATATAGACATAGGAGGTTGAAGTACATTTTCAATAAAAGAGAAATGAATAAATGTTTATAAAATATTTATATAAGTAACATGTAAAAGAAGATAAAATGGAATATTAATATTTATATAAACAGCAATTAAAGTAAAATGTCAAAAAAGTGAAATAGGATTAAAATATTTCTATAAATAAGAAGTGAAAATAAACTGTTAAAAAAGATAAAACATATATTTAGAAATTAGAGATGGTTTTGAGTACAGAATCTAAAAAATTTATTTATCCCGCAGGAAATTGTTTGTTTTTTTGACAGCCCAATGAAATAAATGCAAAATTAACATAAATAAAAACATGTATACAAATGAAGTGGGGATTGTGCACTAAAACAAGTTTAAAGATATTTCATAAACATAAAAATTTAGAGTAAAATATAATAATAGTTTAAACAATAATAATAACAAAATATTTTATAAATATATTATTTCTGTAAACAAAATCACTTATAGTATTAAGGTGCAGTTGAATAATTTTTTTTTATATAAACAAAAAAGTTCAAGAAAACACAAGAAGTGAAAAAGGGTTGGGGTTAGAAAAATATTAAAATGTCTGAGTTTGTTAAAAAAATCAAACTGCAAATCAACTACCTACAAACAAAATCACAAAGCAACTTCAACAGTGTTTCAGAAATCTTGAAAAAAAAGCTATCGTCATAGTGATAAACCCCACCCCCCCTGAAAAAATTACCAATTGGTAATCTGTATAATAGGCTTTACTATTATTCACTCTCCTGAAAGGCCACCTTTGTGTAGACTGACATCGTTTTTAAGGGGATAAATAAATAATTGATACAAGAAAGAAAGACGCCGTAATGGTTGTAAACTTTCAAAATGCCTGAAATTCAGTATTTTACAATAAACGACCCCTTTCTCCTCCCATAATGTCCCGCTCCTTACTGTGGGTGCAGCTTTTATATGTTTTGTATATATTTATATATCTGAGACCTATGCTATTGCCTAAAAATAGCATGATAGGTGACCTTTAAAATATGTATATAAAAATAGGAAGTTAAAGTAAAATGTAAAAACAAATTGAATAAAAAAAGGTGTGTGTGTGTGTGTGTGTGTGTGTGTGTGTGTGTGTGTGTGTGTGTGTGTGTGTGTGTGTGTGTGTGTGTGTGTGTGTGTGTGTGTGTGTGTGTGTGTGTACTTGTGAAAGTAAGGTGTGCAATAAAAAGTCAAAAAGGATATTGATATATACAAAGGAAGTTCAAGGACATTTTCAATAAAAGAGACATTAATAAATGTTTATATAGACAAAAGAAACATTTTAAAAAGATCAAAATGAAATATTAATATTTATTTAAACCTCAATTAAAGTAAAATGTAAAAAAAAAGTAGAATAAAATAGGATTAAAATATTTACATAAACATTGGAAGTTTAGCAAAAATGTGTATTTTTCTTGTGAATGCCTTTGAGATCCTAGAGGCTACCTTAGTGTAGACTAACATGTTAAAAGGGTTAGTGTCAAAATGTCATAAATAAATAATTGATACAAGAAAGAAAGACACTACAACTTTCTTAAAAAGCCTGAAATTCAATATGCAGTATTTTTACAATGAATGACCCCCTTCCCCCCCCCATTGTGTCCCTCTCCTTACTGAGGGTGCAGCTTGTAGAGCGTGCCGTCCACTCCCACTGTGATGTCGAGGTGCTCGAGGCTTCTGTTCTCACGGATCTTGTCGACCACGGCCGCCATCCCGGCTCCGCAGATCTGAGCGGCGCGACGGGACACCGTGCCGCACACCTCCTTCACGATTATACTGTCATCACAGGTGCTGTCCAGACCCAGCTGCTGCAGGATGGCTCTGACCTGAAGGAGCGCCAGACGATCACTGTGGAGAGAGACAGGGGTCAGAGGTCAGCCAACAGCAGGAGAGACACCGGATACTTCTCAGCTGCTCCCAGGGGCTAAGGTAGGCTTAAACAGTGTATAAACTCAAGTCCTCGCATTAGACACCCTCCCTACTACTCTTCCTCCTCCTCCTCATCCTCCTCCTCCTCTCATACCTGTTAGCCCACTAGATGCTACTCCTCCAAGACCAATGCTGCTTAAGCATGGGCTCTTATGTGATTACCCTCTCGATCTTACTACTGTGTTTGTACGTTTAAGCCTCAAACAGTGTATAAAAGCAGTGGTGGAAGACGCATTCAATTCCTTTACTAGAGTAAAAGCAGTAAACGTCCTGCGAGGAAGTTATTTTTATGATCACACATGTTAGCTATGGTCCTTATAAAGGAAAATCCACCCATTAGCATTCACAGTTAGTATTCGGTGTGAACAAAGGAATTTTTTGGCAATTTATCGTTTTTGGTAGATTGCCTTTACCTGTCAACATCTACTATCTACAGAACTATGGTTACGTGTTCTACATTTCCCACATTATCATCACTGCTGCTATCGGAGTTGGAATTCTAAGGATTTCTTACTGTGTGATGTTGGAAAGTATTGGCATTGATCTAGATCACAGCATGCTATGTTCTGCCATGAAATACTTCACTTAAGTTGCATTCAAATCTGATGATAGCAACACACGTTTTTTGCTTATCTGCTGAAATAGGAACATTTCACCACAAAAAGGACAACAAATATATAAAGAATAAGTATAGAGCCGTTGTCTGCCTTAGTGATGCATGTTAGGTGTTTGACTCACCTCTCTATCTGTGACAGGAACTTGGTCTCGAAGATGCCTCGGGTCTTCAACGCCTCGGAGATTTGTCCCCGGAAGAGGAAGCCACGCTTGGTCAGATCGAGCAAAATCTGCCTGACGATTTCTCCGAGGTACATCCCACTGCACATCTTCTCGAATCTGACATAGATAACAAAGAGACACACATTAAATAGCCTTAAGATGAGAAAACACATACCTTCTATATTTAATATCTAAAATACAGTTGATATATCCTTTATTTAACGAGGTAAAAGTTTCAATAGGCGCTTTCACAACGGAGTACTTTTCCCAGGAATAGTTCAGATAGTTCCTGGGATTTTGCGTTCACACCAAAAATATCTGGAACTAGAACTTTTTATGCGAACCTTTTGACCCCTTTTTAGTCCCTGCTAGAGAGGTGGGACTTTCCTGGGGAGGAAAAGGTTCCAATTTGTGATTGCGAATTGCAAACCA